CTACACCTTTCAAAAAATAAAAATTCAATGCTTATAAATATTTACATTTTTTAGCTCTCTGCCTTGTCTGCAAATGTGATTTTTATGCATGTATATAAATAATGTGTATGTATATGTATGGAGGTCAGGACATCAAAAAAATCGTACCTTCTCTGTACATATGCCCTTTTTGTCAGAGAGCTAGGGTACAGATTATGGTGTGTTGGATGTATTACATATATTATGCAGATGGAACTTTTTGACTTTTAAATGGTAACATAAACGCAGAAAAATATGTATGCAAAAAAATATGTTACAAATAAAGAAATCTCTTTATGGCTGGGCATTTTGTAACATTTTAGCCAAAAAAATTGAACAGTTTTTCAAGATGGCAATCTCCACATACATGGAGGTTATCAAAATTACTTGGGATTACAAATTGGAAAAAGGTATAATTGTGTTTACCTTGACATTAAATTGATTAATGTCATTAAAAAAATGTGACTTTAAATTAAACAAACTCTACACAACAGACAATAAAAAAATTTGGACTTGAAGAGCTCTTCAGCATTATTTCAGACATCTCAACTTCATTTCAACTCAGAACTACTCAAAAACTGTTTATGATTCCAAACCATTCCTTTTATCTATAGCTGTCATTAAGTGTAAGAAGCATAGCACCAATTAAGTTTAAAATAAAATTGATATGATACTTATTGTTTGTTCACATGAAGTCCATCACCGTTTTCAACCACCATTTCGAAAAAAAAAAAAAAAATATAAAAGCACACTTATATCATAGCGCTGTTCATTGAATGCAAAAACTTTTGGAAAGCAACTTTTTCTATTTACACAGGATCTATGGTTGAGATATTGATCCGTAAGAAGATTTGAATCTTCCTTGGGATCAATGAACTAAACAGTAGGGATACAGAAAAATACTTGTTTACCACAAGTTGTTGCGATGAGGATTTAGGCCTACAATATTTCAAACTCTATATTTTTTTTATTCATATTTTGCACTAAAACTTTTTTGTACATTTTGTAAATTTTTTGTACTTTCTGTAAATTATATTTCATCTGGTATATTATAACCATTACATATAATTCTGTATCCCATTTGGGCAAGTGGTCCCATCTTGTTATCGACAGACAGCAATATTTACCATCTAGGCCTATAGGTAGCATGTACCCCAAAAACTAACACCACAGCCAAGTAACTGATGCAAACATCAAAACATTGGAAACTTTTTTGAAATTCTGCAATTTCATGCCATTACATCTACGTAGTGTGTGTACAACATCAATGAAACAAGTATCCAGAAGAAAGGAGAAAGTTACATGTCATTCTGACTGGTGACAACACGGATATTTCCGAGGTATTCCAAAGATTTAGTTCAAAGAACGGACACCTGTTCCGAATGACAATGATTAGTCGATTGATATGAGAACTGACGTTGGAATTTGAAAGTGATTATGTAAATATCACAATCAAAAACTTAAATAGCTAGGGATGGCGTGGGCAGGGGGTCAGATCCGCGCACCTTGCATTCTTACCTGTGGTTGAGCCATGGTGTTTGACACTTGAGAAGATCACGACAAGTGTCGCCCCAAAAGTTACAAACTTTTTCCGTCACTTTTCTTTACTTGCTGTCTATTTCGTTTGAGTTTAACATTCCAGTGTCTTATGATAAATTTTATGCAAGAGTTCCCTGGTTTTTAAGTTCCAGTACATTGCTAGCAATGTGTTTCTCTCAACTACTTTTCAGGTCGAGTTCACCAAAATACTCCGCCATCTTGTTTCAAGGGTGTGTCCGGTTTTCTCAATAATGTTGGGCACAAAATATAGTACAAAGTAATAATTGAAGGACAATTTGAAGATGTAATATTAAGCCTTTAAATGAAATCTATAAAGATTGCAAGAAATCTTCGTTATTATTCACAATTGACACAAAATGTTTATGATAAATATTTCCCATTTTTTTCTTCTCGTATTGCGTAGGAATATCTGGTATTTAACCTTTGACCCTCAGGTAAAAAAATCTCGTACTACATGAATTGTACGGAGACCCCCGGGTGTAAATTACACAGATTAAGGTAATATGTATGGTGTCTCGAACGTGACAACATTCTACCGATAGCAAAACGGCTCAGTTAGTCTGTGAAAGCCTGAAATTTTTAAAGACTCTATAAAATAAAATAAAAATTACCGAATTGAGCTAGACCTAAATTATTTGCAAAGGTACATTTGTAAAAACCAACCAAAATCTGAGAGTATTGCATTAGCAATACTAGTCCCCTACCAGCAAGTTTAATCTGGTTCCCGTTGAAAAATTGAAAATGCCATAATTCTGTCAAAAATTATCGAATCGGAACAAAATGCAAACTTGATCTATAAGTCATCAAGGTAAACTCATATATCAATCAGAAGTCTCTGATGAGACTGTAGCTCTACTGGTCTTTACGTAAAACAATTAAAGGAAAACTTTGCAACATGCAACAATAGATAGAATTAATAATATCTTAATGTAGTCTACTTTTGTGTCAAGTTATATTGAAATCAAACGAAAACTGTAGGAGGACGAGCGTTTTGACAGTATTTCACAGAAATTTCTATTTTTAGTAATCATGACAACACTTCACTGAAATCAAAAACCGAAATATTATTTATCGTAGTGTATTCTAATTGTGTGCCAAATTAGATTGAAATCAGACCAAAACTGTAGGAGGAGTAGCGTTTTAAATGAATTTCACAGAAATTTCTATATTTAATAACCATGGCAACACCGTGCATCGAAACCAAAAACCGATGCATTAAATTATGTAACTTAGCATAGTCTTCTTGTATGCCAAATTATATTAAAAGCAGACTAAAACTGTAGGAGGAGTAGCGTTTTAAAGTAATTTCACAATAATTTATATTTTTAGTAACCGTGGCAACACCGTTCATCTAAATCAAAAACCGATGCACTATATTATGTATCTTAGTAAAGTCTACTTGTGTGTCAAGTTATGTTAAAATCAGACCAAAACTGTAGGAGTAGCGCTTTAAAGGAATTTCACACAAAGATTTAGATTCTAGACTCTAGATTTTCATTCGTCGATCTCTTTAGTATTTTTTTATGACGTAACATATACATTTTTGTATCAATCGAATCTAGTAGACATTGACAGTTTTTAATGATACTTGCAAACTGTACATGTACTACATGTATGCATCGGCAAATTTCTAATCCAGTCTCAGTTCTAAGTTTTCGTATACGATGCCCAGCTGCTTTATTTTTCGGGAATTAATTTGCATTTTTTTACACCTCATACATGTATGACATTTAAAATATGAACGTATATTCAGCCCCCTCCCCTTCAAAGTACCAAAACATGAAAATGGTATATAATACCCTATACCCAGGATTGATTGATTCGTTGTTTAACGTCCCATTCAAGAATTTTTAACTCATATTGAAGGGCTTAAAATTAAGAACTATACTCTGAACTAATGCCATTGATCGAGTCACTCTCTACCATGCATTGGCGCATGTGTATGAGAGAGGAACGAACGACAACTCTGCAAGGGAGATAGCCATTGAACAGTGAGGGTTTTTATCGTGCCAACGCCTACCGTGACACATGGCCTCGGTTTTTAAGGTCTCATCCAAGAGACCCGTGACTTTCACTTCTAATGTCGGGCGCTTGGCAAAGGATCAGTCACTACCCACGTATAGGCGCAGCAAACGAGAATCGAACCCAGGCCCTCCGGTCATGAAGTAAACACCCTATTTCCAGGAAATAAAAATAAAATGATAATTATTGGTAATATTTAATGCAGAGCACTTTATTTTAAAATTTAAATTTAAAAACTTTCAGTTTTGAATTTAATATATTAGGACACACCCCGCATCAAAGCATGAATTGCCGTGCAACAAAAATTACAGTGCTTCTTAGTTTCCGGAAGATATCTAGAGAGAAAAAATCCTTTAGCTTTAGCAATGAAATTTAAATAATAACTCCACACTTAAAAACGACCACTATTGATTTTGAGATTAAAAGGCCAAAGGTCTAGATCAGAAATTTATAAACATGTACATGTACATGTACATGCATTACAAAAATTTGTTTTTAGGTGATATCCCTTTGAGCGTTTGCAATGAATATTAAGGTGATGAATCTCTCTATAACTGAAGAAGGACTCGACTCATATTGGTTTCAAGACCAAAAGGTGATATGTCAGTAGGTGCTTGAGGATAGGACCCCCCCCCCCTCCAAGTGGCAACCCCCACCCCCATATAGACCCCGGGGTCGTTTTGACTTTTTCCCTCATAAATTATCTTTTAATGTCATATTTGTGATATAATCCATACCATCGATTCGAAAAATCACCTAAAACAAACATTTTATAAAAATTTCTACCCACTCGATCTACATAATTATATAGAGTGGCCAGAATTTTTTATGAAATGTTTTTAGGTAATTTTTCGAATTGATGGTGTGGATCACCACAAATATCATAAATTTGACAATGAAAAATAATTTATGGAAAAAAAAGTCGAAACGACCCGGGGTTTATATCGAAGGGGGGGGGTCTGTTCTTAAGCACCTGTGGAAATATCAAGTTTAATCGTTCTTTTCTTACTCCATTTACATTTTGAGGTCTTCGATTCATCCTCTTATTTTTTCCTAACTCGAAGGACCTTATTTATTTATTTATTTTATTTTATTTTAATTTATTTTATTTTATTTTATTTATGCTTAATATTGGAATATAACTTTAGAATAACATGGCGTATAATTTGAGTTTAAATTTAGTCTGAGATTCAGTATTTGCATACCACAGTGACTGGTTTATAGGATATTTTATAATATTTTTAAATTAATTCATGGCCAAGATTTAATCTGAAATTTAAAAAAAAATCATATTTTTTCCCAAATTTGAAAAGAAATCTCTTGTTCCAAACTTGCTTAGAGACGAACTCCCTGGTTACCGTGCAGGGCAAATCTTGATCCCGATGTAAATTATTTTTTCAACTCGAGTCTTACTCTTAAAGTCTTTACCATGTTTACATTGTGTTATCTTTGTGTAAAGGGGGTAGTCAAACCACATGGAAAGTAAGATAACAGTTTGATATTCTCTTTATTGCCCTCACGACATTTTATGTTTGCGCGCTATTTCGGGTCACATAGAATGGCGAGTAGAGGGGCACTGGTCGTGTTAGAGGGATGTGACCACAGTGGAAAAACAACGCAATGTAAACGACTGGTGGAATGTTTACGGCAAAAGAATATACCCGTCCAGCCATTTCGATTTCCAGGTGTGTATTAAAGTTGTTCGTCGCTGCTTAGAGGGCTCTTCCTTATTCTATATTTTTTAGCTCACCTGAGCCAAATGCTTTTAATAGTTCAATCAAGGCGTTGAGTGTTATACTCGGCTCGAGTGAGCTGTACCGGACAGATTAAATATTGTCTCGATTCCGCCTGCCTTTCTGTCGTTCTTTGTTTGTTATCATATAGTTCCTTTTGGTTCCTGGTGGAACATAAGGCCTCAGCAACAGTCCTCCAGCGCAATCTGTTTTGAGCAGCCTTTTTCAGTTGTTCCCAGCTCTGTCCACACTGTCTGATTTCCTCTTCGCATGACCTTCGAAAAAGTTGTCCTGGGATGCCCAACCCAACATTTGCCTTGGGGGTTCCACTCGAGAGTGTGGTGTGTAATGTCTCCCGTTGGTTTTCTGAGGGTATGCCCAATTCACCGCCACTTTCTACGGGCTATTTGCTGAGTGATCGGGTCTTGAATTGTTGCTTTCCACAGGCTCTTATTGCTTATCTTTTCTTGCCACCTGATGTTTAGTATGTCACTATGTGGTGCAAACATCTGTTTGTGAAGGTTTGTAGTTTGTTGGAGGTGGTGTTGGTGACTCTCCATGTTTCGGTACCATAGAGGAGCACAGACTTAACATTACTGTTATATATACGGAGTTTTTAATGCGTGTTGACAGTGCTGTTGATCTCCACACAGGCTTGAGGGTGATAAAGGCGTGTCTCGCTTTATTAATCCTAGTTAGACATGTTAGAATAATCCAACTGTGTCTCGGGACAGCCCCTCACCACAGTTAGAATGCCTCCCATATACCCGTAATGTAGCAGAAAATTGCAGAATTGCTCCAAAACAATTTTGGAGAAAATTAATGAAGTTGCATTGAAAATAACAGTTAAATTAACCATAACAAACCTTTCTGAGACTGTAAGTACCTTACATCTAAATATTTAATCCGTATAATGGAAGAATTCAACACTTTTTCACCAACGTTTTTTACTCGTTTCAAATTTACACACCATGTTGACATTCGGAACTCTCAGTTTTTTCATAGTGTATGCACTGAGTTAGAGTTATCTCCAGTATTTTCTTTGCTACATTGGCAATACACGGACCGCATTCTATCATTAAACCGGGTTCGTAGGACATTTATCATTTTAACGATAGAACATTCTATCTATATTAATCCTTGCTTGTATGTCTTCATCTGTTCCATCAGTGGCTGAGACAATGCTGCCTAAGTATGTAAAGGTGTCTATGTCTTTCAGGTTATGCTCCCCAAGCATAATTGGTGTTTGCTGTTTGTTGTGGAGTCGCATTACCTCTGTCTTGTCAATGTTGACACGAAGACCTGTCTTTGCTGCTTTTTTGGCAAGCCTATCTGTCTTGAGTTGCATATGCTCATACTTTTGGGACATAAGGCATAGGTCATCAGCAAAGTCGAGGTCTTCCAAACACTGACTGAAAGTCCACTGGACTCCCGTCTGTAGACTTTTTAAATTTTTCAAATTTTTCTTCAGAAATACTCATGCAAAGGACAAGGTATAGCAATGGCTGAATTTGAGCAATGGCTGTATTTGTTATAAAAATCAAAAACATCAAGACACAGTTAAAATGTTGATAGTTTGCAATTGAGAACTTTAAATAACAGTTGTTTTAAAACAAGCAATAATTTTGATTAAAAATAATATTATAGGTTAAGTTCTTGAGAGGGTGACTTGTAGAACATTTTACCAAATTTCCTCATTTTTGATGGAATTTCATCAAATTTGAGACTTTTTACTTTGGCTGACATTGAGCACAAGTTTGCCTATAGATCTGAGATTTTAAAGAGATATATCTGATACTGTGTATAAATTTGTGTTCTGTCTCAGTGTTTTCTGAAACAAAATGTGCAGCTTTAATTTTAAACTAGATGAAAATTTGAATAAAAATGAGAAAATTCAGAATTGAATAAATTGTGTGTCTTTCCTCTGACCTCTGTGAATATTATAACTTAGAAGCAATGGTTTCTTTGCCAGTGGATGTCAATATGTTGAATGGTGGTTTTCATTTTATTATATATGATATAACATGCATGTATGAGCACACATTTAACGAAACTCTTGCTTATGTTTGAAATAATATAATCATAACTGAATATAAAAATGTATTTCAACTGTTCTTCTATTAATTGCAGACAGAACTACTGCTATTGGTCAAATGATTAATGGTTACCTTGGAAACAAACAGGAAATTGAGGACCATGCTGTTCATTTGCTGTTTTCAGCCAATCGATGGGAGCTAGTGTATGTAGCTCTATTTATCTTTAGTGACCAGTAATAAAATTTGATGACTTTTTCGGTCTGTCAATACATTCCTCCACTCAATATTATGTTCCAACCTGGATTTCAGTAACAGTGACAGATCTTTGATTCTTTAAAAGGGTAAATGGGGGGGGGTGTCTCAGGGGTGCCTTAAGGCCCTTAGTTTTGGGGGGCCCAGGGGGGCAAAACAATTAATAATTACTCATTTTCATAGTTTTACTAAATTGTTGGTCACAAAATGGGAGTCCCAAGCCCCCTCTAAAAGTATAAATCTGCCACTGAGTATCATGTTCAAATTGTTATGCTGTTTAAAGTCACCATCATAATTACGAGTCTATCACAAACTCTGATTGTGACAAAATGTTACTACCTGACTGTATGATAATTGTTATTTTTCAGTCCCAAGATGAAGAAGCTCCTGGAGTCTGGCACCACTCTGATTGTAGACAGATACGCTTTCTCAGGTGTCGCATTTACTGCTGCCAAACAGGTAGAGCCTTAGGATGGGCAACTACGCCCTTTTTCATGTTTAAACAATTTGTATTTGGTGATCCTCAACTTAGGTGTGTTATCATACAGGATCATTATATAAATTATTTATTGACTTACATTGTAATTCTGAGATAGAATATATTTTTTGAACCTTCAAACCAAACTGTTGCCTTTTGCTTACCAGCATAGACTAAGGCTCAACAAAAAAGGTATCCCAGAACTAAGTCAATAAATGTATATTATTACATATTTTGATATATTTCTCAATAAATTATATAAACATCCTGGGCTCTTACCATGCTTACAGAGCCATATCAGTCCACACGTGCACCGTAATGCCTGGGGACTACTTATGCAGTTGTGACATCACAGTATATTTATCAATCTCTCCATTCTCAATGATGTCACAGACATATATTTGAAGCCACAAGTGCCCATTATTAATGTTGTATGGATGTTTTTACAAGAAATACAAGTGCCCATTATTAATGTTGTATGGATGTTTTTACCAGAAATACAGAGAATCTATTCATATGAGTAGGGAAAAATATATTTGGATTTAAATATTTAATAATATACAGTTATAGCTGTTTTTTAGGTCAATACGATGATTTAGACACCTGAGGAGTACAATATTCACCGAGCCTGAAGGGCGAGGTGAATATTGTACTTCGAAGGTGTCTAAATCATCGTATTGACCTCAAAAAACAGCAATAACTGTTTTATTATATGATTATCTATTTTTGGTCCAATGTAGAATAAATAATTCCTTATATTGACCTGGAAATAATTCCTTACATTGACCTGGAAGGTCACGTGCAGGTCAATATAACGTAGTATTTTTCTAACATTGTTGGATCTCAGCCAATCAGAGAGATGGGAATTATTCAATGGGTTGAGGTAAATGACTAAATACTGTACAGTAGTGGGAGTTCACAAGCTCAGTCCACTTTACCACACAAAGACCTTGGATTGGCATATTTCCTGATATTCAGTCAATAACCTATAAATATCATTATGGATTTCTTCTTGTCTTCCTCTGGTTTTTGATATTTCAGGCACGACATGCAGGCAGGATAGAAATTATTAGCATATGATTTCAGTATGAAATGTTAAACATCTATAATTCAAACTTCATGATCTTTTACATTCTTTGACATACACTGTATTTACTACAGTAGTAAAAGACAGCATTAGCGAAAAAGGGAAAAAAAAGAAGATAAAACTGACCTTTTTAGCTCTTCTGAACCAAAGGCTCAAAGAGCTAATGCTATGGCCATTTGTGCGGTGTGCGTAAACTTTTTAGAATATGGGCCATAACTCAAGAACCCCTTGGCCAATTATTGTCAAATTTGTCACAGGGTATCCTTGGCCCAAGGGCTCCCTTTTATACTAAAACTAGGGTTGTGACCCTTAAACAAGGGGAGATAATTAGGAAAATAGAAACAAAAGTACTGGTTGCTAAAAAATCTTCTTCTCAAGAACCACTAGGCAGATTATCACCAAACTTACACAAAAAGATGAGGATATGTTGTAGATTAAAAATTGTTCAAGGCATCACCCTGGGGCAAAGGACGTGGTCTCAAGGTCACTTCAAAGTTGACCAAAAATTATATTTTATTAAAATGTTGATATTTTGCTTACTATGAGGACTAGGATCGTCAAATCTTGTCAGTTGATGCATCTAAGGACATCATATTGTAGGTCACAGTGACATACTTTTTAAATTTTGCGGCCATTCTTTTTCAAAATGATTTAGAGGCATATTTTGAACAATTTAAGACCTATGATCATCAAACTTTGTCAGTTGATGTATCTTGGGTCCTCTAAGTACATCAGCTAAAAGTAGGCCACCTTGACCTATTTTTTGAACTTTATGGCTAATCTTTTTCAAAACAGTTAAGGTCATTAATTTGAATACCGAGAGGTTTAGAATCATTAAATCTTGTAAGATGATGCATCTTAGGGCCATAAAACATATTTATTATAAAGTAGGTTACAGTGACCTACTTTTTGAACTTTGCATGCATTCGATTTCAAAGCGTTTTAGAGGCATAATTTGGACATTTTAAGGCCTATGATCATAAAACTTTGTAAGTTGATGCATCTTGGGTCCTCAAAAAAGGTCAACTGAAAAGTAGGTCACCTTGACCTACTTTTCAATTTATATGACTATAATTAAATATTTCAGGTACTAATTGGCTTAGAATCATCAAACTTTGTCAGTTGATGCATCTTGGGTCTTCGGAGTAGGTCGACTAAAAATAGGTCACCATGACCTACTTTTGAAAATTTATGGCTTTAATTAAATATTTCAGGTGCTAATTGGCTTAGAATCATCAAACTTTGTCAGTTGATGCATCTTGGGTCTTCGTAGTAGGTCGACTAAAAAGTAGGTCACAGTGACTTACTTTTGAAAATTTATGACTTTAATTAAATATTTTGGGTACTAATTGGCTTAGAATCATCAAACTTTGTCAGTTGATGCATCTTGGGTCCTCGGAGTACAACAGCTAAAAAGTAGGTCACGGTGACCTATTTATGAAAATTTATGGCTTTAATTAAATATTTCGGATACTAATTGGCTTAGAATCATCAAACTTTGTCAGTTGATGCATCTTGGGTCCTGGGAGTAGGTTGACTGAAAACTAGGTCACCATGACCTACTTTTGAAAATTTATGGCTTTAATTAAATATTTTGGGTACTAATTGGCTTAGAATAATCAAACTTTGTCAGTCAATGTATCTTGGGTCCTCGGAGTACAACAACTGAAAAGTAGGTCACCGTGACCTACTTTTGAAAATTTATGACTTTAATTAAATATTTTGGGTACTAATTGGCTTAGAATCATCAAACTTTGTCAGTTGATGCATTTTGGGTCCTTGGAGTACATTAACTGAAAAGTAGGTCACTTTGACCTACTTATAAAATTTTATGTTTATAATTTTAAAAAATATTTTAGGTATTAATTGGCTTCAAGGCTCGACATTAACTTTTTTCCCTACTTGTCCATTCGGACAAATGACCAAGACATTTACTTGTCCGAACATCAACTTCACTTTTCCGAAAATTTTTCAATAAAGATCTAAAACTGTCAACTTGAAAAGTGAAAACTAAAATAAAGTCCATTACACATGACGTGCTTGATTTATTCGTGATGTTATTGATAAATACAACAAACACATAAAACGAAATTTTATCTGACAACAACAAGTGAACCTGTCAACATCAAACAGAATCCAAACTTTGTGAAGTTCGTAAGTTTCATGCCTTTTCAGTAGTATGCAATTAGTGAACTTCGATTCCGATCGAATGTGAACTGAAGTCAGGTTTTTATGTACAGCTTCCGTCTTGAAACTATCAACAGTCGTTCTTTTTATTATTTAGAGACTCCTTTACATTATATTCACTTGTCCGTAATTTTTTTTTTTTCACTGGTACCGGACATGCGGACAAGCGTTAATGTAGAGCCCTGGGCTTAGAATCATCAAACTTAGTTGATGGGTCCTCAGAGAATGACAAGTGATAAGAAGGTCACCATGACCAACTCTCAGGTACTAGTTGGCTTAGAATCATCTTGGGTTCTCAGAGTGTGAATTGGAATTTCAAGGGTTTATCTAAATATACAGGATACTTAGAGGCTTCAAATAGAAGTGATAGGTTGTACAGTTTATCAGAAGAGTGATTCAAGGCCCTTGGGCCTCTTGTTTTTTTATAGGAGAGGTACCAGTGTTCAGTAACAATTAAGTTGTCAACTTTTCTAGGGTTTTCTATTTATTGGTGTCAATGTAATGGTGAGTTTCGGTTTTCAGGGTTTTACGATTGACTGGTGTAAACAACCGGACCTTGGGTTGCCTCGTCCTGATCTGGTTTTGTATCTTAACCTGAGTCCCGAGGCCGCAGCCAAGCGGGGAACGTTCGGCAGTGAGAGATACGAACAGACAGACTTCCAGGTCAAAGTGGCGAACAACTTCCAACAACTGAAGGAACCCTACTGGCAGGTACATGAATCATCAACTTCTTATTAAATACTGATAGAAAAAATCTTACAAATGAATGCAAAAAAATTATGGCCAAGGAAGCTCTTACAGTCAATGATATGTTGTGGTGGCCGGATCTAAAAAAAAGTGTGATGGAGGAAAATTTATTTCGTTTGCAACAACGATGATTAATTTTATTAATTTTTTTTTTTTTTTGGACAGGAAATTGATGCTGACAAAACAGAAGATGATTTATCAGCTGAGCTGACAGACATTGTTTTAAACCTCATATCCTGTATGGGGGAGGCGCCTTTAAAGAAACTGTGGTGTGACTAAGACTCTAAAAGGACCATAAGTCTGGAAAATAAAAGACAGAATAAGATTTACCTCATTTTATAACCCACTATGAGTTCAAATGATTTTTTTTTGTTCCAGTATGCATGATTTGTTGTAGACTTCAGTTATTATGTTCCAAGAAAATCAAGCATTTAATTTAATTAATATTTAATTGTAAAATTGATGGGATTGCAAAGCAGGCTAATACCCTGTAAAAATTCCCCATACTATTTGAATCCAAGATCTCAAAAAGTTGATATTTGTATCACAAATCTATACAATATTAAAAATATATATACAATATTAACTACACAATCATGTCTGTAAGGGACATTAAATTTCATGATCTTTCTATTAGATTTCTGCAAAATTGTCCTCACGATGATGCAAGTTTTAAAAATTGTAAATCACTGCCTAATATCTACAAAGGGATATATATATATATATATATATATATATATATATATATATATAAGCATTGAATTATTATTTTTTGAAAGATGTGGTCTGATAATTGCAACGGTGTGTACAAACAAATTGAGTAATGCGCATCAGCGCATTATGAAAATTGGTTTGCACACACTGTTGCAGTTACAAGACTACGTCTTTCATAAAAAATAATTCAGTGCTCATATTTACATTTTTTAAGTCACTGCCTTATCTGCAAATGTTATTTATATTCCAAAATCCCTGTATTATTCTTCGGGTAAGTTAGAATTAATAGAAGAACCATTCCAATAGCAACTACCGTTAACGTTTAATTGTTCTGTGTGAGCATTGATTTTTGCTTGTGACATACATTGCACTTGCATAGCGTTCAGCGTTTGTGACGTAATTCAAAATAAAATTCCCAACTTAACGTTTTGACCTCCCCTTGTCTTTGTTATGGTGTACTGAATGGCGAAGCTTTCCACATATTTTATAAGCAAATTACATGTCGAATGTAAAATATATATAATTCTCCTTATGCACAGACCATAATAATTTGAATCCAAGATCTCAAAAAGTTGATATTTGTATCACAAATCTATACAATATTAAAAATATATATACAATTTTAAAAAATTTATATACAATATTAAAAATATATATACAATATTAAAATTTTATGTACAATATTAAGAATAAATTGTTCCATTCTTATAGTATATTTATATGTACATCAGGGATGGCTCAGTGAATTAAAGTGGTTTTACAGTCTGAAGATAACTGGGACTATATAAGCGTTTGGTTTACAAAGCACACATTGCGAGGAATTGCCACATTGGTCAATATAAATGTTGACTGTTTCTGTGAGAAAACAATTTTGAGTTTGTAGAGAGTATATGTTGAAAAAAAAAAGCAATTAAGACCGATTACATGCATTGATAAGGGGAGGCAAATCTATGAAGGATATGTTTATCATCTAAAAACAGAGTGAATTGTACTTGCATTAGAAAGAATAGATTGATAATTGAAAAAAAAAGCTTTAAGATGCAAAATTGTATTGAAAAGCATAAATGAAGTTTATAAAATATTTAACACCTGTGGATTAACAATACATTTACAGGTAATGGAAAGGGGGGGGGGGGTATAAAGGTTTTGAATCGTAACATCATACTTATTTACTAGATAGAACAAGATGTGTTTGCGAAACACTGATGCCCCCGTATGGCAGCTCAAGGCTAAGGTTAAAGTTTTTCAGATGTAGGTCAAACGTCAGGGTCAAGAGTCCAAAAATGATGGTACCAAAACAAAGATCTTGTCAGAAGGAATACACATGTGAAATAAGAAAGTCGTAGCAGCAACCGTTCAAAAGTTATGGCCAATGTAAAAATTTTATTCCAAGGTGAAAAGATCAAAAAAGTACCCAAAGGAAGGTTTAGTCACATAGAATACACATCTGAAAGATAAAAGCTCTAGCATCAATCATTCAAAAGTTATGGCCAAGGTTAAAGTTTAGCAAAATTTTGCAAAAGTATGTCAAACTCTAAGGTCAAAGTCAAGAGGTCAAATATGTTGAAACCCAAAGAAAGGTCTTGTCACAAGGAATACACATGTGAAATATGAAAGCCATATCACCAACCATTCAAAAGTTTTGGACATGGTTCAAATTTTTGCGGACAAACAGATTAACGGAAAGACCAAAAAAAATATATCTTCGATTACGGAGGCAAAAAAAAGAAAGTGAATCAAGGATCTTGAAGAGACCATACTTTAAAACAAGATTATGTACCAAGTCTTTCTGAAATTGTATCAAAACTATGGGAGGAGTAGCATTTTGAAAGAATTTCACAGAGATTCATTTTTTTGTAACCACGGCAACATACTATAGTAGTTTGTCGAAATTAAAAACCGATTTGCAGCATTAAGTATTTTGATGTTATGTATACTTGTGTACAAATTCTTGTTGAAATTGGACCAAAATTGTAGGAGGAGTAGGACAGTGGGACGGACAACTTCGGAATGGACATTTTTCCGAACTTGCGCACCTATTATTTCCTTTTAAGCTATCATCTTGGGATTTTTTTTTTTTTTTTTTTTTTTTTTTTTTTTTTACATTTTCTGGTAGTTTTTGAGATATTAAGTGACAAAGATAAAACTCCATATGGGAAACATGTACTTAAAACTACCCCATGAAAAAAAAACCCACAAAAACCCTATGGGTTTAAAATTTTACCATGGGGAAATTAAACCTATATAAACTTTCGTGGGGTTTTTTAAACCCATATATGACTAAACATTACATGTGGGTTTTTCTCCCACGTTTTTGTTGCATAGGGTAAAAAAAACCCATATAATCCTCATTATATATCTTTAATTTCATGAAAATTGGAATGACGGAGACATTTTAAAATTATTGTCTTGTCTTGTTTTCAAACTTGTTTCCAAAGATATACTAATTTCAGACAAGGCGACTGAGCTAGGTTTTTAATGGAGTAAAATAAAATAACAGCAGTAAGGAAAGTAAAAAAAGTAATTATATAATTTATTCAAGTAAATGACGAAAAGCAAAAAAATACACATCGATCATTACGGTAAAAGACATCTCCCCCCCCCCCCCTTTCCGTGCTTCTGTTTGTTTGAAAATGATACCATAACAAATAGATACAAGTAACACTCTCTAAAATTATTTATGCTAAAATAATTTTAAAAAATTAGAAATAAAAAAAAAAACGCTCCTAAAAAGGGCAAATCATGACAAGGCTAATGATCTTATACATGTATCTACATATCTACACAATTTTTCTGACGGTAAAAGGCACCCCCTCCTCCCCCCTCCTTTTCCGTGCTTCTGTTTCTTTGAATTTCATTGCCAATGCATCAAATTCTTTTGAAATAATATATTTCTTTTTCTTCTATTTCACTTTTTTAACCGCACATGATTTGCTTGGGAACCCTTCCCCCCCCCCCCCAATCTCAAAAAAGGGGGGAAAAAGTGCAAAGGCTTCTAAATAATAAATATTCTAGCTTTAATTTAAAACCAGTAAAACTTAAGATCCTTTCCTCAAAACTGCTGACATTAATTGCCTCACACACATCTCCCTGGGGAAAAATCACAGATTAACGCTATAATTCCGCTTTTATTGAGTTCGCCCTAAAACTAGAATGCGTACTTTTTCTTGGCATGGTAAAAGACATCTTCTCCTCCCCCCCCCCTTTCCGTGCTTCTGTTTGTTTGAATTTCATTGCCAATGCATCAAATTCTTTTGAAATAATATATTTAGACAGAAAATGACTTAATGTTGATTTACTGGGTCGGGCGAAATGCATGAAACCTGCAGAACATCATAACAAATAGATAAAAGTAACACTAAAATTATTTATGCACAAATAATTTAAGAATTTAGAAATAAAAAAAAACGCTCCTAAAAAGAGCAAATCATGACAAGGCCAATGATCTTATACGTGTATCTACACAATTTTTCTGACCGTGAGGTCAAAAACTTCTATGTAGAACATATAAAATCTTTGGCATCATATTATGCAAACTGACCTCTGCATCCCCTACTGTTGAATTAATATAAGATCTCCCATGATTTGTAGTTGGATATGATTTTTATCCGACGAGTTGTGTGTTTTTTATCCCCGAGCCTTGGCGAGGGGATAAAAACACACAACGAGCTGGATAAAAGTCATATCCAACTACAAATCATGGGAGATTCTTTTTATCCCATGTTTAATACTTCACAACCAATGTTTTACACTGTTTTATACAGGACTCCACTTTATTTTACTTCATCACTCTAACGCAAAAACTATTGTGACGTCGCAACTGTGGAATATGAAAAAATTATCCAATGAGTCATATCCACGGGATAAAGGGGTAAACATGGAATACAGTTGTGCTTACTTTAAGTATGTACGTAATGAAGTTGTTAGTATCATCGATTTAGCCCGGTGGTGGTGGGGAAGGGCGGTCGGGGTGAGGAGTTCAAAATTTATTCAATGACGTATAATGAATTATTCTGAAAATGACGTCAAAACATGCGCGGATCTAGAGGGGGTCGGGGGGTCCGCCCCCCCCCCCCCCCACTAGAATTTGCAGAGTTATTTAAAGTATATACTGGAGCAAATAAAAAATGACTTTAATTTGGACCCCCCCCCCAAAAAAAAAAAACGTGGATCCCACTACCACCGCGAAATAGGTGTTTTTCACGTTTGGGAAATGGATTATACTTCTTCTTTTTTTTTTTTTTTGCTTGTCAAGAATTTTTTGGTTTAATTTTTTTTGTTTTTGACTTGGATGGACCCCCCCCCCCCGGAAAAAATTCCTGGATCCGCGACTGCGAAACTCTGTTGAATATATATCGTGAAATAAGGAATGGGTTGATAAGATATATATTTGTCATCTAGCAGGCACAAAATTGTCTCATCGATCAGCTGTTATTCATGGCTAATTGGCTGAAAAAATTCTTGATATCCAACCTGCATTGAAGCTTAATATTATTGTACCATGCAGAATTAATATACGTTATGATACAGATAAATCTCTCTCTCTCTCTCTGAATTTTAGTTTTTCGGCTTATACTTGAAAATCCACCTCTATTTCAGGTGACTTATTTTACTTCTGATAAGACCCTTTGGGGAGCCCCAGTTCCGGTCGTTGACCAATGGTCAAACTTTAGACACACCGCATTATGGATATCTAAGCACCAAGGCAGCGAGAGAACAAATATATTTGAGTTAATAATGGCAAATCGGCGGTGCTCTGTGATATGGGTACAGGTGCGCTAATTAATTAGAATTTATGTATTCTGCACGTGTGATACAACTTAGCATTGTATTAATATAATTCGCACGCGTATTTAGTAGTGGCGA